ATTCGTACTTTCAGGTCTGTTCAGCAACTGGGGAATGTGGTGTAGTTTTGTCTATCAGACGCTTACTGCGACGATTTTGCTGGTGCTGATGTTGACTATCATGCGTAATATCACCTGGAGAAGCGATACAACTCGGCGGGTCGTCGAGTCGAAACTCTTTACTACAAGTCACTGGCTGCACGTTGAAACTAGCCGTACGAGGCGCGTGCTGTAGCATAGGCGATATTAGAGCCGCGACACTCGGTCCTTTGCATAAAGTAGAAGATTGACGGCGAAACTTGGCGTTAATGAGAGCATCGATATCAGCTTCATCGATAAATCCTTCGTCACCATCAACATGAAAGGTTTCAAGGTCCAAGTTATCCCACGTCGGGTCGTTGTTGGCGGGAAAGAGGTTGCTCAGGCTCTGTTTTCGAGTATCGAAGGCCTGGGCGGGTGCGTAGCCGGGAGTTAGATAGTTGTATTGGGAAATGGACTGTGGAATGTCTTCTGGTTCAGAGTAGTCAATACGCTCTTTCTTACGAAGACTCAAACGGCGGGGTTGTCGATGCTCCATACCAGTGCCGATCTCTTCAAACACGTCCGAGTCTTCAGATTCGTCGGCAGCGGTTTGACGAATAGTGGACGAGCTTTTGGTAGCCGGTCGTTCGTCGCTGGATGAGCGGCTATCAGAAGGCTGGCGCCTTTTGGAGCGCTTCCGTCTAGGAGCCTGAATCTCGTCGCCAGATCCCGCAAAAGCAACTGCTCGACGTGTTTTAGAGCGCTTTGTAGCAACTCCCGCTGCATCCTCGGCGATGAATCGATCCCGTAGATCTTCACATTCCTTAATACGCCGATTGATCTCAGGGTGAAACAAATCGTAGTAAGCAGCGTAGTCGAAATCCTTCTTAGACCCACTCCTCTTAAATTCCGCAAAGGCATCGGTCTTCTCTATTTTCTTGTCAACAAGCTTGACCTCCATATCACCGCGGTGAACAGGGAACGAGCCGGGACGGATTTTTCGCTGGAGGATGAACTGTTTCATCTGCGATTTTGCACGATGCTCCATGTTCATACCGTAAAGTTTGTAGATGAGCGTACGTTCGTGCGGTTTGGGTTCACCGCGCTCATAGTCTTCATGAACAGGGTAATCAGAAAATTCGTGAGTATCAGCTAGTCGGCCTTTGCTAGCAGCTTCGATAAACTTGCTAGTCAATGCCGCTTCATAATGATGTTTTGGGCCAAACGCGGAGCCGAAGCGGCCACTAGGCTCTTTTTCCATGGCTACACGTTGATCAACCTTAACGTCAGCAACCTGGCAGATGTACGCAAAGTCTAGGAAACGCTCCATGCAATACAGATGAGCGTAACCGACGCAGTCGTATGGATCGGCTACGCCAGTGCCGTACGTTCGGTGCTTTTCGTCGAATGCGACGCGGTAGTTGCCAACTTCGGCGGTGCCTTTGCCAGTGTACACACGCATTGGGCACTTCTCGAAGCGACAATGGCTGTGAGAGGCAGAAGCATAACGACGTGCCACGTCTGAAGCTACTGGCTGGATCCATATGCGGAGATTATCGAAAGGATACTGGGTGATGTACTCGTGAATCTGACGAGCAGACATGGTGCGCTTCTTGAACTCATGCATACCATTGTTTTGACTGTACTCAAACTTGTATTTGGAGGTTTCCCAATCGCCATGGGGATGATCCTTGAACTTGTACTTCCGACCTTCTTCGGCGTGTTGATTGATGCGAGCAGTGCGTGTGGTTTCGCCCCTGGTCGTGTTGTTGACACGTACCCAGGGCTTGTCATCGCACTTTTTCGGCTTCTCTCCAGCTTTGACCACAGCTACCTTGACTGGCTTGCTCACGGAGCTGGCGTTGGAAACCTCAGAGTGGTGGCGAGAATCTGGTGAGGACCGAGCACGTTTGGTGGGCTGCCCGCAAGGTCGCTTGACAACGGGCACGTCGTTGTCAGACCCAGACTCAGATCGGTCACGTTTTCGTTGAGGTAGCTGATGAGTAGTGAAAGTCTGGCAGGGACGACTGAATCGGCGAGAGCTCGAAGACTGTATGGTATCGAGCTGTTGTGTTCCGGTATGATACTCTGCTGGCATCGCGACATATCCGGTGTATTGTTGCGGATACGGATGTTGTATAGATTGAAAATATGGCTGGTCTGGGTACATTGAACCATAAGGATCAGGATACATCTGTGGATTCTGGCCAATGGCTGCATACTGTGACATATCGGGTACAAAGACATTGCCACTAGGAAGCGCGGAAAATCCGGGTGTGGTGTCTAGAAGCTGAGATGGTGCTTGGAAGTTAGGATCCCAGGAATGGATGTCTTGAGAATAACCGATGTTGGAATCCAGAGTTCGGCTACCAAACGGCTCTGTAGGAACGGAGTCAAATAGACTCTGCCCAGCTTCACTCAGATCGAAGTTCTGTCCTGGTTGATTATCCTGATCAGCATTGGCATTTGAGAACGACAAACCAAGTCCAACCTGGTTATCTTGAGAGAATCCGTTGAACTGGATTGAATTGGCAGCAAAGCCGTCCGTTGGCATCCCATCCATAGCCACGTCCGTATCATTGGTTCCCGCCCACGCAAACGCGTCTGAACCGAAGGTATTGTCTTCGAGTCCATCATTGATATTGAACTGCTTCAGATCGAAGTCGCCAAGAAGGCAAGGGTCAACTGCATTGGGAAGACCAAGCACGCTCTCGGAGCCATTGAACTCGCGGAATTCAGCTTGGCTGTGGTTGTATGTTACATTAGCGCCGGTGCTCCGTAGGTATGCATCCGCTATCGACTTATTTACGGCTGAGTGATCTCGACGATCGCCAGGGGTTACAAATGCTGCCTGATGATCGGGTTGGGTAAATGGGTTTGCTGGTTGATCCTTCGATACGATCCTTGGGGAAACTGGTGATTGTGAAACAATAGTCGAATACATGTCGGAAGATTTCCTGATAGGTTCAAAGCGTACGGGACGCACAGATAGCAAGGCGCATATCGTATATATATGAGAGATCATAACATTCTTTCATCGAGTCTTGTAAAGTCACAGATTTAGATTGAACAAAGGAATGTAGAAAAAGTATCTGGAGGTGCACATCGTTGTGCTGAGCCTATAAAGCGGTCATCAAAGGGTAACCAGCTAGTGAAATACCAGCATTGTTCGAGTCCTTCCCTCGCTGTCATGTATCGCTATCACTGAGCATTGTGGCGATGGTTTACTTCATGCAGGTGTTGCATCGAAACAAGTCGCTCAACTGCCTCGGAAAGAGGACTTCGGAAAGAATCACAAATTCATGTATCTGTTCTTTGTTAGCTGTTGAGCTCCCAAATGCATAAGCTGAGAAGCAGGTAGCCAAAGAAGGTAATCAGATTATATAAAGCAAATTTTTCGACACAATTTTTACGAACAGGTCTGTGAATTTTGTCTTTTTTTCATCATGAAAAAGGAGGGAAGGACAGGACTAAACATACCAAGTTGCTGTATTTGAGTGCTGCGTTGCACTAAGCGTGAGACTACATGATCATACTGGCATTGCGCAATAGCATCTGTTAAGAACCTTGATCAAAGGCTATTGCAGAGTACGCGCGCTGTTGTAGTTGTTCATGGTTGGTGTAAAAGTCAAGACACGCAGGTCGAGGGTGATGAAGAAGACTTTTGCCGGGACGCTATGACCGGAATATCTATATCTCCGAAAAGCCGAACCACTTCCAAACACACGGGCCCTCCCGCCGCCTTGACACCTCTGGCCTCTACAATCGTTTGCCTTACAAGTAATCCCTGCCTCAGGAATCCGCAAGTCTGGTTCTGTCCCGCTGTTGGGCGATCAAACAGGCTTGCCGCACCTGCACGTGTATCGTTTGGGGATGTTCCCGTCTGCGTTAGCCCCACGCGAAACACGCCTCACGTTCGATGGTCAAACACAGACTGTTTAGTCAAACATGAGGACTATCCAGCATATCAATCTATCGCGTCTAGAGAACAGATCGAGACGCTATGGAATGGAAAACTCGGTGGTTCGTTAACTCAAGAACGTCAGGAATGCCTCTTACGGCACATCGGAGTCGAATGGTGAAGAGGCCGAATGAACATCAAAACTTGTATTGCCAGTAGAAAAGCGAAACAATTTGTGGATAGCATACCTCTGCCCTGGTTGTTCAAGGTTGCAGCTTCAACGTGACTGGGTAGTGAGGCTTGACTTTACTGGCGGGCGCAAGCTCTAACGCCATACAGCTTCCTACTTCGCCTTTCGCTCTACTTGAACACCTCATCTTTTGAGGTCATTCTCTCAAGCGTTTCCACTCTCCTGGTTTCCATCAGCCGGGGCTAGGTATCGTGTTTCAAAGACCGGCACATGCTCTCGAGGCATCTCGATGACAGGGGAGACCAAGCGCCAAACGTTCGATGAAGTTCGGAGAACACTGTGGTGGATTATGCGGGACATGACCCGCCTCGGTCACATCACTAGATGCTAAACGTCTGGGATGTTTCTCACACGGTACCCAGGTAAATCACAAACCATTCAGGTTGCCACGACTGTCCGTAGCCAATCGCTACTCACTCGCAAGATAACAAAGTTCTTGACCCATACCATACATCCGATCCCTCACCATACATGCAACGCGTCCACCCGGGATGCTTGCTACCGGGACTATCATGTACAAAACCATGCGTTCATAATGCCACGGCTACCTCTACCTGCACTTCGGACCCTTTACCGTCGTGCTGCTTCTCTCGATCGTCGATTCTCCGCCAGTGTCTGGTTGGCCCTTTTTTCCATCTCGGACCTTACTCCTCTACTCCAATGTTTATTCTCTTCTAGACGATGGAAAGCGGAAAGCGTCAGGAGCTGGTGCTCCTTGGTTCGATTACGTTCTACCTTATAATTACCCTTCTCATTCTCAGCTACATCACAGTCGGTCTACGGTTTTGGGTGCGATATCGCATCACGAGATCTCCAGGATGGGATGACGCCGCGATGGCAGCGACACTTATGCTGTTTACCTGCTATTGTGCATTCATACTCGCAATCACCTTTCGCAGTTCTGACCGAAACCTCTTCAGCGAAGAGGCCATTCACGTAACTTTAATTGTACGTACCTCCAGATACCAGTTCTTCACAACAGTGCTAATGTTCTGACAGTTTATTCAACTATCTGAAGTCTTCTACATCCTCACTACGACATTCCTCAAAGTCTCGCTGGGACTTTTCTTCCTTAGGGTTCTTACCAAGAAATGGCAAAAGCTCATATTTCATGTCATCCTCGCCATCAGTGCAACGTATGGCCTCTACTACGTCTTCATCGCTCTTTTTCAGTGCGGCGACCCAACACGCCTCGCCGACAGTCTGCTATCACCGTCTTCCCCTAACTGCCTACCTTCTGCTCTTCTTCTTACCTCGGGCTACCTCTACGGCGTCATCAATGTCATCGCTGATTGGACATTTGTCCTGATCCCTATCACCGTTCTACTGGACAGCGACCTCGACCGAAGAAGCAAGATCAGCGTTAGTATCGTCATGGCGCTAGGTGCAGTAGGTAGCGTGAGCTCGATCTTCCGGATGGTCTACTTGAAGGGACTGGGCTTACATGCAGGCGGTCTACGAGGTAAGTGCTTTACCCAAACGGAGTTGATGGTTACTCGTACTAACAATTTCACAGCTGAATCAGTAAAAGCAACAATCTGGGCAACTGCTGAACCAGGCACTGGCATCATCGCAGCCTCAATCGCTATTCTTCGCCCTCTTTTCCGCCAGATAGCTTCTGACGTCCGATCAAAAGCGTCTCACTACTCACACTCACGCAAGGGGTCTCAACAGTCCGATGATACCATCGCGCTGACGAGTCAGGAATCTGCTGCTCAAGCGATGAAGAACAAGAGACATAGCATGTACAGAGTGAGTGAGGATCTCGTCGATCCTTGGAGTCCGACCATTGTTGCGACGGCGGATGTGCAAAGAATGGTTGTAGTGAAAGGGAGAATGAGTCCTGTCCCAATGGTGACAACGCAGGCGAGGGAGATCGACATAGTGTGATGCACATGTATGTGCATGTACAGATTTATATATATGAGCTCCGAGTATATGACGCGATCGAGATAAAAGTGGAAGGTCCAGGGATAGTTCAACCTGTTATCAACATTCAAAAGCTTTATTATGATATTATGTCAGAATCCAAATATACCATACGGAATTACATACTCGATCTCCAGTCCCCGTTTACTTTGTGGTTTGCGATGCGCTGTCGTGTTGTATTTGATCGTTGTTCTGAAACGCAGTAAAAAGATCCTTATAGAGCTTTAGTACCAGAACTCTCAACTAGAAAGGTAATCGTGGATATGGAATGAACGCTACGGCGAATTACGATTTACCTCGGCGGAGTGATGGAGGAAGGTCCAGCGGATGACGTCCCGATAGGGCCAAACGCGGGAATGCGGCCCCAGGAACAGCGGGAACATGGCGAGTTTGGAGCTTGGAATTGGTTATCCCAAGGTCACCAACCATGACATAACTACCTACTTATCCGCGCCATGCGTCCTTCGCAGCAAGAGACGACATGTGGAAACCGAACCTCCACCTTCAAAGAGGCGCTATAAGGCCTCGGGTTGCTTGCATCTGCGCGCACGCCTCCAGGCTCCCCTCGACGACGACGTACCTTCCCCGCCAGCGACGCTGCTTCCACGAATACTTCATCACACACATACCCTCGACGTCACTGCACCCCGACTCGCGAGTCGCGCAACCTGCGCTGCATCACAAGCTTCCGCGCGACAAAAGCACGCCCTACAATGCCGATGGGTCAGGTCGCTCGCCGGCTGCCGTCGTGGGCACGTCGCGCGAAATGACCGTCGTACGCATACCATTGAAGAGCGCGAAACATCATTTTGGCGTCTCGTTGTCGCGAGGAACACGGCCATACAACGAAGATGCGTTCCAGGCAGGTACCATCGATCTCCCCGCATTTGCACGGCGGCGACCTATGTCTCTAAGCCGAAAGGGACAGAGCGCGGACAACGACGAAGTCACGCCGGACGTGGGTGCCAGCGGAGATCCCCAAGTCTTCTACTTTGGTGTCTTCGATGGACATGGCGGCGCCGAGTGCTCTGGCTTCTTGAGGGAGCAGTTGCACGATTACCTCGAGAAGGCGACCAAGCAATTCGAGCTCAAGAGCAGTCTCACGCGGGAAAGAACAGAGACGCAGTCTGGTTCTCCAAAAGCCAAAGGCGAGGCATCTTCTGGCGATCGAAGGCAAAGAGACAAGGAGAGTCTGAACGCTATCGAGACGCATACGCCACCAGGCACAAAAGCTATGAAGCCGCCACAACCTGGAAGTAAAGACCAGCTACCGACCGCCGGCTCCAAGTCTATGGATGGTCCAATCGATGGCGTCCCGCCAGTGCGGCAGTCGGACAGCGTGCGGAAAGCTGAGGAGCTAGAACAGCACTTGGTCAAGCAATGGAAGGAGCTTGTAGGCGGATACTTCAGACGCTTCAAGCCAGAGTACTTTTCCATGTCTGCAGGCGGACGCGGCCATCCGGCGGAGAAAGAAGTCATCGAAAAGCGCCATACGAGCTCCCCAGCGATACCTGATGACATCAAAGAAGGCATCGGAATCGAGACTGTGTTAGAATATGCTTTCCTCAAAGCCGACTACGATTTCGTTGCTGCTCAGGTCGGCAAGAAGGAAGAGGACCCTGTTCGTGCGGACAAAGCTCTGAACGACGATGACATCCTTGGCCAGCCCTCGCGCACGACTACCAAGCACATCGGGGGCACGAGTCGCTTCAAAGGAGGCAGCACGTGCAGTGTAGCTCTCATCTCTACACCCACGCCGTCTCCCTTCTGGCATCCTTCGTCTCCATCCTCCCTCATCACCGCTCACGTTGGAGATACCAGAATACTACTCTGTAACACGGCAACAGGTCTGGCTGTTCCCTTGACATCCAATCACCACCCCTCCCTCCCCGAAGAGGCCACCCGCCTCCGCCGCTTCGCTGCCTCATTTGTCACCGACTCCTTTGGTGAGGAGCGCATGTCCGGCCTCGCAAACACGCGTTCCTTTGGCGACATGGCACATAAACGCGTCGGAGTATCTGCCGAGCCTGAGATCCGTAGAATAGAACTCTCGCCAGCAGAATACTCGTTCCTCGTCTTGTGCTCCGACGGCGTGTCTGGGCACCTTTCTGATCAGGAGATAGTGGATATTGTCAAAGAAGCGAAGACACCAGAGCAGGCTGCGAGAGACGTAGTTAGTTTTGCTACTGAGACTTCGACTGGCAGTGAAGGCGCGGACAACGCAACCGGTCTTGTCGTTCGATTGGGTGGATGGGAGAGGCGAGGAGAGGGAGGACTGGGCAGTTTGGGGACGAAGGAAATGAGAGATTGGAGGAAGAAGGAGGCGGAGGACCCTCGTGCTTCTGGGAGGATGTGAGAATCTCTTTTGTCTCGATGGAGCATTGGTGCATGACAGGTGTTTCTTGGAGTCAGAGCGAGTGCATTAGATTGCATTGTACATAGTGCCTACCATATACTTTGCAGCGTTCATGTCTCACTCAGGCCTGATGGTACTCTGGATGTAGAGCTCAACTGCAAGTTGCCGTCATGACTACCTTGCTCTCAAGAACATGCTGTCATGCACGCTGCCGCGATGATAATGTCAACGTACAGGAATGCGCATCCATGCTATTCGTCATGATGATGTGCGCGCGTTGTCCAATAGCCTCGAGGTGATTGACGGCCTGCAGGTCGTGGCTTGGCTTCAAGATGGGTCTACAACACAGCCAAGTCGACGACTCGAGGGTAATGCACAAGACGGCTGGATGTCATAACTCTATGCAGTGTCTGTGCAGGACGGTAGACCCTCGTTCCAGTGTCATGGCTTCCACAGGGCTGCATGCGGGAGCGCGAGCTGGAATCTGGGGGGGGAAAGCACGATGCGCAAGCGAGCCAATGCGCCGTTGCCAGGCGGGCGCTCTTTCCTCCAAGCTGCCGGCGAACTCGTCGATGGTGCCTGAAGCAAGCAGAAGAATAAATTTCTGCCCTGTCTCACCCCTACGAACCCGTAGACACCTACATACCAAACAAACACAGTGTTTGTTTGCTGTCTTGCTTGCTGCTCTTTGATCCGTTGCTCTTACACCCGTCTCCTCGCACCAAAAGTCCGTTCTGTTAGTGGGGCAGACCCTTTAGGAGGAAAACAACACGTGAACTAGGCCTGTCTACGCTCGACCTTCTTTCGCTTCAAATTCCCTCCCTACGACGACCGCCCACCGCAACTTGTACACTCTCTCTGCCTTCCTGCCGCACCACCTTCTGCTTCTCCCGCCACCGCGGCTCTTTAATTCTTTGCAACGCTAGATACCCCGCCTTAAGTCCACGAAGCACCCTTCAGCAATTATGGACATCAACCAGGTGTTGGAGGGGACCTATGCTGCCGGTATGCTTTCTATCTACATTCTTCTAGAAGCTCCACTGACTCTTCTGCAGACGCTAGCATCCGTAACAGCGCCGAGCAGCAGCTCATCCAGGCGGCCGACTCCAACTTTGTAAGTCCCCCCACCGTCAGAAGGCTGCATGTGCTTCCCGAGACATGCTCAGAACACTCCCACTAACGCCTTTCGCTCCAGCCTCAATACCTTACCGTCCTCGGTGGCGAACTCGCAAATGAACAAGCCCAGCCCCAGATCCGACAGGCCGCCGCCCTGGCCCTGAAGAACGCTTTCACCGCCCGCGAGTATGCCCGGTTACGTCAGGTCCAAGAACGATGGCTCAACCTCGACACCCAGATCAAGCAGCAGGTCAAGGAGATGGCCCTGCGTACTCTGGCCACACCAAACAAGAATGTCGGCTCAGCTGCCGCTCAGTTCATCGCCTCCGTCGCCGCTATCGAGATACCCCGCAATCAATGGCCGGAGCTGATGACCACGCTCGTCGAGAGTGTCGGTCAGGGCACCGACGCCCAGAAGCAATCTTCACTTACCACAATTGGTTTTGTTTGTGACACAGACGACGTAGAGCTGAGGGACGCGCTAGCACATCACTCCAACGCTATCTTGACGGCGGTTGTCCAAGGTGCCCGCAAGGAGGAGACCAACAACGACGTCCGTGTAGCGGCCATCAACGCGCTCAGCGACTCGATCGAGTTTGTGCGTTCAAACTTCGACAATGAAGGCGAGCGCAACTACATCATGCAGGTTATCTGCGAGGCCACACAAGCGGAAGACAGCCGCATTCAGCAGGGCTCGTACGGGTGTCTCAACCGCATCATGGGTCTCTACTACGACAAGATGCGCTTCTACATGGAGAAGGCGCTATTTGGCCTTACCATCCAAGGCATGAAGAGCGACGAGGAGGATGTTGCCAAGCTGGCTGTCGAGTTTTGGTGCACCGTCTGCGAGGAGGAAATTGCTATCGAGGACGACAACACACAGGCACAAGCCGAGGGCTCAACCGAGCTCAGGGAGTACTTCAACTTTGCACGAGTTGCCACACAAGAGGTTGTTCCAGTGTTACTAGAGCTACTTGCCAAGCAGGACGAGGATGCCGACGACAACGAATACAACACCTCCCGCGCGGCATACCAATGTCTACAGCTCTGGGCACAATGTGTCGGTAGTGGTGTCATGCCGCCAGTTCTCGCTTTCATCGAGAAGTACATCCGCTCCGAAGACTGGCACTACCGGGATGCGTCCGTTTCCGCCTTCGGTGCCATCATGGAAGGTCCTGAGGAGTCGGTGCTTGACCCGATTGTTAAGCAGGCTCTGCCTACTTTGATCGGAATGATGGACGACCAGAACATCCACGTCAAGGACTCCGCCGCCTACGCTTTGGGCCGTATCTGCGAGGCTGTTCCTAGTGCGCTCGACGCACAGCAGCATCTGCCTCCTCTGATCGGAGCTCTGTTCAACGGTTTGGCCAGCAACCCCAAGATGGCTGCATCCTGCTGTTGGTCGTTGATGAACTTGGCCGACAGGTTCGCAGGAGAGCCCGGATGCCAAACTAACCCATTGTCGCCCCATTTCGCTCAGAGCGTGCAGAGCCTTTTGCAGGTTACCGAGCGAGCTGATGCTGACAACACCCTCCGCACAGCAGCATACGAAGTACTCAACTCCTTTGTCAACAACGCCGCCGGCGACAGTGTTCCTCTAGTCAACGAGCTTTCCAACGTCATTCTAGAGCGCCTGGAGAAGTCTATGGCACTCCAATCTCAGGTTGTCAACGTTGAGGACAAGCTGACTCTCGAAGAGATGCAGACCAGCTTGGCCAGTGTCATCATGGCCATCATCCAGCGATTGGAGAGCGACATTAGGCCCCAATCCGACCGTATTATGCAGGCGCTGCTGAGCCTTCTATCGTCTCTGCCTCCCAAGTCCAGTGTTCCAGACACTGTTTTTGCCGCCATCGGTTCGATCGCGACCGCGCTCGAGGAAGACTTCCAGAAGTACATGGAGGCGTTTTCTCCATTCCTGTACAACGCCTTGAACAACCAGGAAGAGCCTGCGCTCTGCTCCATGGCCATTGGACTGGTGTCCGACATCACCCGATCCCTAGGCGAGAACGTTCAGCCCTTCTGCGATGCGTTCATGAACTCCCTTCTTCACAACCTCCGCAGTCCTCAACTTGGCAACCAGCTTAAGCCGGCTATTCTCCAATGCTTCGGTGATATCGCGCATGCTATTCACGGTGCGTTCGAGACTTACCTAGCTGTCGTTGCTCAGGTGCTACAACAGGCTGGTCAAGTCACGTTGACCACCGAGGGCAACTACGAGATGATTGACTACATCACCTCTCTCCGGGAGGGCATTATGGACGCATGGGACGGATGCATTGTCGCCATGAAGAGCAGCAACAAGAGTGAGTCTTACAATTTATAACGTTGACGACGTACTAATGACCACAGCTCAACTGATCGTTCCTTACCTTGACTCGATTTTCGACCTTCTCCGCACGATTCAACAGGACAGCAACCGCACCGAAGCTCTTCTCCGATCTTCATGCGGTGTTATTGGGTGAGTAAGATTGTTTCTCGCCAGGTTTTATTCTACTAACATCGTCCAGTGATCTTGCAGATGCATTCCCAGCTGGTGATTTCAGGGAGTACTTCCGCCATGAGTTCCTTACCGCAATGGCGAGGGAGACACGTGCAAATGCGGACTTCAGCGGCCGAACACGAGACACCGCTCGATGGGCACGTGAACAGATCAAGCGTCAAGTCGGTACGTCGCTCCGCAACAACCCCTACCTCCGTCCTGGTCCTCTTTAATAGAGTCAATATCCCCATTATATGTATTCCAGCCCACTGACCTCCCTTCCCCAGGCGGCAACCAAGGCGTAATGGCCTGAGTGTCTTGATATCCCTTCCTTCCCCAGCACTGCTTGACCTGTGTGTTGGCCAATATGTTGGATAGCTTCTCTTGTGGAAGTACCATTTAGCATGTGGCTAAAACATAGGTTTTAGCTCTCCCTCGCGTACCCCAGCACCTCGAAGCACAATTCGGAGCCCATCCGTTCGAAGATTGTCGTCGCGCACGGAACGTCGCTTCTATGGAATCATCGGTCTACATCCCTCGCAATCGCCCGGATATTCTTCACAGAGCAACATTGTCAATTTCGTCACGCCTCGTTGGGGAGGGCGAAATTGGCTTGTCGCGATACGACGATGTCACGGGTTCCAGGTATTGGGAGCGGCTTGATGGTATAGAAGGCTATCGTCCAGTCATGGATACGATCTCACGTGTCTGTGGTCACTCTGGCACGTCTTAAATGCTGTCACACACGAGAGATGTCTAGCCCACAGTATCCAGACAACGCGGCACCCCCATCCAATCCACCCCCAATCCCGACACCCATGCGCATCCCCCCCAAACGACCGTCGAACCCGAATCGCGTAGCACCCTCTCCAACCAAATCATGTAGCACCAAAAAGTCTTGTAAGGCAGAGCGCATAGCTACTAGCCAGGAGAATAGATCCTTTCCAGTCCCTTTTTTTTGTACACTCACTTTCGGTGGTTTTTTCCATTACCATTTGGAATAGGCGTTCATGCCATGTTGACCTTCAAGTGGTCTCCATTGGTTTTGTGGATATATGCTGGGTTTATAGTTGTAATGATTATTGCTGTATAGACTTGATACTCGAGGCTTGATTGTCGGTCGTGATTGTGATGCTATATTATTCGAGAGGATTTCAGCTCAAAACTGACCAAGGTCGAGTCTAACTAATGTATACAGAATCTGCACTTTCATCACCTCCACCCCAGGTTCTCTTCTACATCGTTCCCGTACAATACAAGTTACACTTGACCTTGACCACCCACCCACTTTTCACTCAGCTCCCACCATCATCCCGATCTCCCCTTCGAACTAACCAAGCGACCAACTCGTGGCTAACCCAACAATGTCGTTCACCAAGCCGCCGCCGCCCAAAAACCACTGCGAAGATCCAGCATCACTGCTGCATACGCTAGACTGTGAACACGTCGTAAAAACCTCTATTTCTTCGTCTTTGTCGCCTACAACCGCCATCTCCGCCACACCAGCAACGACCTCAAAAGCCCCCTGCTCGCCCAACTGTACGAGAAGCATCTACACTTCCAAGCCACAGATCCCACTCTCTTGGCTCAGGCGACGACAGAATCTACATGCACACTTGTTTACGTGTCTTGTTTGTGTTGAAGAATACATTCGTAGCCAGTACGCTCGCTGTCTAGAAGAGCATACTAGGAAGGGTGGCAGGGTGACGGATAACGTAGAAACAAATGTGCAAATTTGGACGTACGAAGCTGTCTTGGAAGCTGTAGAGAGAGGAGGTAGGATTTCTGAGGGGGTTGTCGGAGTCTTTCGGATCAAATATTTGGAAGGGTTTAGGTCGTTGGGACGGGGGCAGAAGAAGGATGGAGGATATGAAACGTGGGCATTGAGAGGTAGAACGGCCGGAGCATACCGTGAAGGAAAAACACAAACAGTTGTGGATGACAAAGACGCAAGTGAAGAGAGTCTGATCGGTGGAGAGAACAACGATGAAGTCAGGGTTGGGGATGTGGAGATGGAGGACCTGGCCGACCGGGTTACGGATGCAAGAATTGATATTCAGCAAGATCATGCGGTGGATACACTCATGGAGGGTCTTTCGAGATTGTAATTGAACATCATGGGGTAATGGTAGTAGAGAGTGAATTACTGCGCTATGTACAGCATACACAATTTGCACAGAAAGGGTAGTGATGACAATGGAGAAGGACACAGCGCAAAGATCTGGCATCCGATGAGCACCCTTGTAGAGAACGTACCTACCTAATCCACTTTCTGTAGAATCATCCTTAAGCTCTACTGGTTAACGTCAACTGGTTACCTGCGCCAAACTTGCGTGCCTGTGTGGGCCTTCCAGACAAGATGACTCCATTCTTCCTTACTTTACCCTTAAGCTAGAAGAATGGACCTTGAAATCAAGCAAGAGATGTCATGCAAACACATTGACATGACATCCACTCGAGCCAGGGAATTACCTTGGCGCACCACTGTGGTAGCTACCAATTCCCACCGTCTGTCAAGGTATCACACGCTTGTGTTATGTTTATCGCGACGCCATGCGTCGCATCCGAATTTAAGCAAGCTTGAACTAACTCTTCCTGACGTTAAGCACGATAGCTATTCACGACGCAGCAGTGGCGCGAAGAAGAGAATGGAGGTTCGAAAGTCCTAGTTAGCTACAAGGCATTGATGCGATCGAAACCTATCACGACGTCAGGCGAAGAATGGTCAGCAATGGAGAGAGGGTCAAACCACAGCCAAATCACTCCAGAGTATGCCCATACTCTAAATCAAGGCCAAGGCAACGAGGAATCTAAAACACATGATTATTGACAGACAAGTCATCCAGGGAGAGGAAGAGACGAGCTGGTCCTATGTGCTATTAGCAGCCATAAATCCTCCGCTTCCTGATCCATGCTGATGGTGTGTGACAGTCTGTGAGTAACCTGGAGACCAACGTGAGATCTGAACAAGGCCGTGTTCCTCGACAGACGTACCGAAGCAAGCAATAGTCCACCAACTTGTCACCCATCGTCTGCCTAAACAACCTTGTTGATTATCCACCCAGACATTATCGTCCCAATATCCACCGAAATTTCCATAGTACCTCTGAACGCTTATTTATCCTTCATGTGTTGGTAACAACGCAGCCTCCACCACTGGAAGCACCGCACGTTGCATGTTTTCGCTAGCACGACACAAAGGCCGGTACCCAAGAAATGAAGAAGAAAGAAAAGAGAGCCGTACCATACCGTCAACGCCATGCATGCGTACCGAAGGTGTAAGACTGTGCCGTGATAGTAACCGTAAGAGTGAACTAAGAGAATGAGCCGTGTAGAAACCGTATGAGCCCATGGGGTATGCTGTACACATGAGTGATTGGGTATGCCCAGCAGCAGTACCTACCACATATCTCATGACAGTTGTAACGTACCAATCGCTTAGAACCTGCTTGCAGCAGCACCCCAAAGGGAGTTATAGATCTTATCGACAACGTACGAGGCGCGGATGGTGCGGCTGTTGAACGTGCGACCATTAAGACCTTGGAGAGCCTTCTCACCACCAGAGACGGAGTCAAACTTAACAAAGACGTCTCCTTCGCTGTTGGCATCAACAGCAATATGAACGACCTTGCCGTACTTCTTGTCGCACTCAGCCTTGATCTCGACTTCAAGGTCCTTGACCCAATTGTCGCCCCAGTTGCGTTGTTCCTCGTCAGCATCGAAGACGTTCTCGATCTTAACGCATTTGGAAGCCATGGGAGTGGCGGGGGCGGGGGCAGCAGGCTTGCGAGTGGTAGGTGTAGGCATGGCAGACTGACTGCCCTGCTTGGAGTCGGGGACGTCGCGGCGAGCGAGAGCATCCATGAGTCTGCTGCGGTCATAAGTCTTGTAGTTAACTCCTGCGACATCAGTGTCATCAAGCGCAGAGGCTCCGCTGACACCGCGGTCGTCCTTGCTGTGGGTACGGTCGAAGACACCACCGGAACCACCAGCATAGGCGCCTCGGCCACCGGCACCACTGAAAGCAGAGCCCTGGTAGGATTGTGCTTGTTGAGTGAAAGTACGTAGGAGGTTGGCGGTCGATTCTGGGGTAAATTTGTCATTGCCGAGACCGACGCGAATCTGGCGGCCAGCGAGCTCGAAACCGTTCATCTCTGCGAGAGCATTCTTAGCGTGCGAAGGATCAACGAATCTAAGATGTGTTAGCCATGATAGCATGCAGGGTGGACGTGTGAACAACTTACTGAACGAAACCATATCCCTTGGATCGGCCAGGATTCATCTCATCGCGCTGGAGGATGACCTGCTCAAGCTCACCGAAAGGCTCGAAGATCTCCTGGAGATCCTTCTCGGTGACACTGAAGTGTATGTTGCCAACGTAGAGACGGTGGAAAGGGGCGCCGTTGGCACCGGGGGCAGCACCACCCTCAGAGGGACGAGCAGCACGGTTCTTCTCTGCTTCAGTAAGCTGGGCAATGATGGGAACACCCTTCAGTTTCTGGCCAGTCAGCTCCAGTGCTTGGGGAACAGACGCTTCATCCTTGAACTCAACGTAGCCGACGCTAGAAGGACTGTCAGCATGCTTGTCTGGGTCGTAGTGAAGCAAGTACTTACCCCTTGGACCGGCCAGTGACTCGGTCCTTGACGATCTGAGCTTCGACAACAGGGCCAACCCTCTCGAAGAAGGTGCGCAAGTGGCGGGTCTCAGCGCGCTGAGAGATCTGCTGGACGAAGATGGTGCGCTTGTCGCGGTCGTCTTCGGTGACCTCGGGCTCGGGCGGGGTGGCATTGCGACGGCTGTTGCGGCGCTCATCACCACCGTTGCGGGGACGGCGGTCGCGCGACCTATCGCGGTACCTATCGTTGCCACGGTCGCGAGGGGAGCGGGAACGCGGACGACCTCCACCGCTATAGAAGTCGCCTCCACGGTCACGGCCTCCACGACCTCCACGGCGGTCGCGCGAGCTGCTGCGGCGGGGCCTATCACGGTCTTCATCTGTGTCAGCACCTTTGCTTGAACGAGGACGGCTTCCGTCTCTTCGGCGGTGGTCTCTGTCGCGGCTTCGTCGCCGGTCTCCATTGGACTCACGATGACGGTCCCCACGGTCTCGGCTCCTATCGCGACGGTCTCGGCGGTCTGAATGGCGGTCGTCGCGGCGGCTGTCGGTGTCGCGCGCCTCGCTGCTGGCGGTGCGCTCGGCGTCCTTCATCTCGACCTCGCGGGCCGTCTCCTCGAGGAGGGCTTCGACTGCGGCCTGGGTAGACATGTCGGTGGTGGTTTCCTAGCTCTCGATAAGTGTAGCTGGTAGGAAGTGATGCGCGATGTCACTGCAAAAGGCGATGTGTTGTTGTTGATGGCGAGCACGGGCTCAAGTATTGATTCAATTGCGATATCGAACGGACGTAGTAGATGTCACTGCGGACGATTTCCGTAAGACCTCTTGAGTGAACTGCACTCGACAAATGTGTGCTTGATTGAAGCTTTGTGGATGCCGTTCAGTTGTTAGTAGGTGGGTGAGGTGGAGAGCGGAGGGATGGCCTAGGCGTCGCAACTTGAAAAGTTGGAGAGGGGTCTTGGCAAGAGCCTCGCATGACTAATCGGGAAGCTGCAGGCAACGATTCACGTGCACAGCAAAGTGCTGAAGAGGAGCAGTGACTGAGGAATCATAAGATTGTTGGCATTACTATTATATAGGGTAGTGTGTCATGAATATATCTGCAAACATCAAGCTGCTTGGACCCAAAATGGTCTCGCAGACGCACTAAACGCCTTCTCGCAATGCTGGTCTTGACAACGTAGTGACAGGTGGGTGTCTGATAACAAAAGTCTAATAGGAACCTCATCAATTTAGCTCGACTTGATGACCTTGGAAGGTCCCATCTCGAGCTCAGTGCCGAAGATGCGGTCCCAGAAGCGGCTCGTGACACCGAAACCGTTCTGGTAGTCTGCGAAGTGATGTGCGAGGTGGTACTTCTTCAATTGTTGGTAGTAAGGGGGTAGCCTTTGAGATGTTAGTGAGGTTCTTGAACGTAACTTTTGCGTATACATACTTCTGGTGGTGGAGGAAGTAGTGTGTCATGTCGTAGCAGGTGTATCCAAAGATACCACCGCAGTAAGCAGCCAAAGCAGCGTACCAGTTCCAAAAGATGACTGCGTGTGCAAATTTCCAGAAAGGCGCCGCGAGGACGACGAAGAGCGTAGGTGGCATGACGAGCCTGTACCTGTCCATGGGAAGGTAGTGGTGGATGCCGTGAAGGAGGAAGTGCAGGGTGATAGCGAAGCGGTTGTCGGGAAGGTGGCTGCTTGTTGTTAGAACATGTTGGATGTGTGAGAGGCAGAGAACTTACTCATCGAGATGGAACAAGCACCTGTGCAGAACGTATTCGATAATGGTCCAGAAACCCAGCCCAAAAGCCCAGTATCCCGCCAGTTCCATGGTAGATGACAGTCCACCGAACGCTACAGCTGTTCCGACTGCAACGCAAGGCCACCACAGTGATGGTACGATCCACCATGGCGTCTTGCTAAGCGGCTCCAAGAAGTTACCGAACAATGGCGCAGAGTCGCCTCCCTTGTAGTGACGCGGTCGGTGCACTTGCTCTAGGTAAAAGTCTTTGCTGAAGCCACCGAAGAAGACCTGCATCAAGAGCGGCTTGTTCAGGTCCAGGAACTTGTGCTGCTTGTAGTCCATGGTGGGGTCAGTCTCTTTGGAGAGGTCTTCCGCAGACGACATGCCGGTTGCGGCGTACAGCGGCTTGCCGTTCTGTTCCATGCCCTTGAGCTCCAGTGTGCCCACCTCGGTTGGTGGCAGAGGTACAATTTCCGCAGGGTTCGAGCTCTTCACTGCGCCATTGAGGACAGGCTCGGTGGCCATGAAGCCCACAAGGCTCTCTTCAAGGATCTCGTAGGCCGAATCGGAATGTGTGTGAGAGATCTCGTCCTTCAGAATGGCTTCTACGTCCTTGCCAGCGTATTCCAGGATGAACTCGGGACCACCGGGATGGCCCTCAAGGAAGTCGGTGACATCGTAGACCTTGGTGCCAATGGTGACATAGCACGACTCTTCGTTGTTGTGCTTGCGCACCTCGGCGGTCGGAATCGTCGGAAGGGTGCGACCGGGCATGGTGGTGGTTGTCGACATGAACTCTACAGTAAAGGCGGCAGGTTCTTCGCAGTACGTGAACGGAGAGAGGTAATCGTTAAGTAATTATGTGAAGCGGTGTGTAATCCAAAGACAAAGTATCAGCGGTGTGGTGGTCAGCTACAGTTGCGTGGCGACAACAACGCGGAAGCCAGGGATGGAAAACTGTGGCGTGGTAGAACACCAGTTCGGGGTAGAGAAGGAGCGTATAGGGTGGGAGGATGCGCAGAGTATAAACAATACAATGCGCGCGTGTGTGTGCAGAAGACAATATAGCAGTCTGTAAGAGTTCCAGTTATTGTCAGGAGAGCCAAGCCGCATCGCTCGCCTCGCAGATCTCACCACCCGCAGCTAATGTGGCGAGACCGGCATCTTCGCCTTCCCACCTCCGAGACCGAGATGCCACCACGAAATCTCAGTTTGCGGAAAGGAGATGCAATTTCCCTTGGCCTGGAGATTGCCGTGGTAGTTTCTGATTGGGCACGGTCTCTTCTAGCGCTCTTCATGTGCCCATAGTCGGATCACTTTTGTTTCGTCCGAATAAGTGCAGGCAGCACCCTAAATCACATGCGACTTCGCACCGCTTCCATGTGAACGTGCCTCGTGACTACCACACCTACGACGCATTACATCTAAATCTGTTAAAGTATTCGAGCCATTCCACGAAAAGGAAACTCCAAACAGATACCTGGGTGCAGATGTTGCGGCAGTCGACGTAGGCTTCAACAAGAATATCTTCTGTCGTGGACAGAACCGTAGACTTCTTAGTTGTATATGCTACTTCGACATGCATTGCTGTAACAAAGAGGCAAAGTCAAACGCCGGCAGAGTGTTTATCGATTCCCTTGTATGGGGTAAGGTTGCCTTTGGGTGGAACACCAAAAGACATTTCTGCAGCATTGACCAGCTTCAGGTCACCTGAGCGGCTTTACGTGTCCTGGCAAGATATGTATACACGTCGACGATTTCCAACGTCGAACAAGCCACCAACATATCGGCCCGCCGTTTTGAAAGCATTCGCGTGGACGCCAATGACAGGCTGTGAGGCTGCCCGCCAGCCTTGCTGGACCCTTGTCTGCCAGGGGTAGAAAAACGACATTGCGTCACTGGCCGTTACCAAGTCGCGACTCCTTCACAGCATCCAACAGCAGCCAGTCCTTCGATATGTGCCTTGCTTTTGGTACAGGGCCCTGGCCCTTGACCTCACCCCCGTTCCCAGCCTTATCATCAGTACCTCCACAACCTCAAGCACATCTACATACCTCTACGACGACGCTTAACAGGTCTATATCCTCTCATCTTATACCTAGCAACCATTCCCTACTACGAGCACTCGTCCTGTGATTGCGCATCCGCTGTGCGCAGTCGCATCCCGCCATGTCTACTTTCAAGTCCAGCAGGGGTCATACCCGGCCTATAAACCATTATTCTATCGCTCAGCTATGCACCGTATTGTGCCTGAGTGCGTTGCCTATGGCTGACGCTTTCCACCACATGGCACAAAAGGCACCCTGGAAAGCCAATCGGAGAAAACTGGACATCACCCCCTTGTTGGTGACGAACCGTTGTCCCGAGAGCATCTGGCCTGGTATCTCAACGCAGTCCGGTACAGGTCCTGGAGAGAATGGCTTCAAGCTTGAACCTGGGGAGACGAAAAACCAGACTGTGTCAGAGGATTGGCAGGGTCGCGTCTGGGGTAGGACGAATTGTACGTTCAACAGTGACGGCACCGCTGCTGAATCGGGTCGCGGAAAGGCTTGTGGATCCGGCGACTGCAATGGCGCCTTGAATTGTCAAGTCGGGGTATGTTATTACGCTCTATATTGATACACCGCTGACTCAGATGTAGGGGGACGTTCCCGTCTCGCTTGCCGAGTTCACGTTGGATGCTGGGGATGGACATACATACTACGACATCTCGCTTGTCGATGGCTACAACGTCCCCATGGCAATCGTACTCCAGCCGCTCGAGAACGTCACGCTCGATGATATTCCTCCGAACCTCACCAACCCATCCTGCCAAGGCACGGATGGACTGCTAGCTTCCCAAGGCTACAATCCCTATCCCGAATACCCTGACTTCTTACGCACGAATACCTCCTACCCCTTGCCCTTTGATCAGAAGGTCGATAAGAATAAGATCTCTAAATGGTGTCCATGGGATTTGCAACAGAACCCCCCTGAGAAGCCTGGCGATGGCGTATATCCGTATCCTGACGACAACATCCAACGGCCACAGTTCAATCCTTGCTTCTCTGCATGTGCAAAGAACAATCGACCTGAAGACTGCTGTACAGGAGAATACAACTCTGCAAGCGCGTGTAAGCCAAGCGAGTACTCCAAAAACGTCAAGGCAGTCTGTCCTGACGCATACAGCTTTGGTATGTGGTCCCCTCGATATTCAATCAACGGAGTAAGGCTAACAACCAGAACAGCGTTCGATGATCAGACTTCAACCTTCATCATCCCCTCCGGAGCTGGATTCGAAGTGGTCTTCTGTCCCGGTGCGCGTTCGACGACGATCCTCTCAACGAGCCGAGAGGAAATGCTTCAGTTAGCGCAGCAAGGCAGAGTCGACAAACAAGCTACGATGATGATGAAATCCAGGAGTGAAATGGCAAAGAGAAGTGCTGCGTCGAGGATCTCAAAGTTGGGTGGTAATCCATTTGCGTTTGTTTTGGTTGTAGTGGCCGTGACATCAGCTTCACACTTCTGGTAGCAAGACTGTAGTTACGCTTTGTCGTCCATGGGGTTCGGAAGCCCCATTGCTGCTGTTGTTTGTTGGTCGTACGTGGAGCGAGGTGGAAGTCTTGCGGCAGTCCCAGTTTTATACCCCTTCCTCTTTTCTCCAATTGACTCTTAAGCATCTCAATCCAATACTTTCCCCCAGATCATTCCCTCATTGCAGCACAGTCGCATGCAGAGAGGGGTCTGCTATAGGCCACATGTTGGTGAGCGACCAAATGCATGACCAGGTAGTGGTGCGGCAGAATTCGTGTTGTCAGATTTAAGACCTGCGCCTTCCGGGTAACCGGAAGCTGCTTAAGGTGCTGTTGGTAAGGTACCAGGTAAGATTTTACAAAGCGATTATAGCGTACGTACTCAGCAACATAAGGTTGCTCTGGCAGAAGTACCCCACGTTGCGTGGGACTTGACCACTCGGAACACTGCCGTCGCTCCTCCAATGTTCTACCCAACTTCTCCATATGGCACGGAACAACGGAGACCGATCTCATCTTGCAATTCACCCTCTGTACCTGCACCTCGTGGCCTTCTGACGGCTGAACTGCGGCTCAGGGTCATATCTTCCGACATCAGATCCACAATAGGCGGCTTGCTAGCCGCTTTGGGCGCGGGCCACCTTCTCCGCATACCCTTTACGGACCACATCACGGTGCTACGAACGGCTCGATGGAGCTCAACGCGGCACCACATGCTCCGGCCAAGTCAATTGTCTGATTTAGCATGGTAGAGGGATGTCCAGTCGTCATTCAAGAAGAAAGGGCGTCCCCAGTGGTGGTGCTGCTTACCCCGCTAATTGGTAGTCTCAGGCAGCGATTTCTAAGGGCTGGCAGGAGGTTCGATCGGTCATTACCATCTTGAACTTCATCCATCATGGCAAAAGCACAAGCTCTGAGCGCTCACGTGCTTTCGAAGGGTTGGACCTTCAAGCAGGCTGATGATACTGCTGATGATGCTTGGATGTCGGTCAACAAGGTTCCGACAAATGTACACCTGGACTTGATGGACCACGGCAAGTATGTCTCGACGTTCCAGGAATCGGAAGCGTTTTGCAGAAACTGACAAACGAGCCAGAATTCCGGATCCTTTCCTGGGCTTCAATGAGCTTGACGCAGAGTGGGTGGCAGACAAGGTTTGGATATATAAAGTTGAGCTGCCCAAGGTACAGGAAGCAAAAGAAGGTATTACACACGTGCTTGCCTTCGACGGTCTGGACACATTCGCTACAGTCAAGCTCAATGGAGAGACTATCCTCGAGAGCGACAATATGTTCGTCCCGCATCGCCTCGATGTGACTAAGAAGCTCAATTCTGAGAGCACGAACACTTTGGAGATCGACTTTGCATCTGCCCGTCTGGAGGCCATCAAGATCAAGGAGAAGTACCCAGACCACAGATGGGTTGGATTCAATGGCGATATGGCAAGGCTCGCAGTGAGGAAAGCTCAGTACCATTGGGGCTGGGATTGGGGCCCAATCCTGAACACGTGCGGTCCCTGGCGTGAAGTGCGATTGGAAACCTACCAGGCAAGGGCCAAGGATCTGAGAGTCGACTACAAACTCGATGATAGCCTAAAATCAGTCCAGGGAACCATTTCTGCTACTGTGGAAGGACCGTCTGCAGACAGCGTTAGCTTTGATGTTTTCGATGGAGATCAACGAGTCTTTAGGGAGACTGCAAAGATTAGCGAGGGTGTGGCCAAAGTGGATTTCCATGTCAGCAGTCCGAAGTTGTGGTACCCCCATGGTTATGGCGAGCAGCCTTTGTATACCGTTACTGCGACGGTTCTCACGAATGGAGCAGAGACACATCAAACGTCACGTCGAACAGGTTTTCGGAAAGGCGAACTCATACAGGTGCCAGATGCTATTGGAAAAAGCTTCTACTTCCGGGTCAACGGCGTTGATGTCTTTTGTGGTGGCTCGGACTGGATTCCTGCCGACTCTTTTACTCCACGTGTGACCGAAGAAAAATATCGTAAATGGCTCGAGATGATGGTTGATGGCTATCAGATAATGATCAGAATCTGGGGTGGCGGCATCTGGGAAGAAGACATCTTCTATGACATCTGCGATGAACTCGGTGTCCTGGTGTGGCAAGATTTCATGTTTGGCTGCGGCAATTATCCCGCCTTTCCGGACATCCTGCGATCAATCAAGGAAGAGTGCACCGCAAACGTCACCAGACTGCGACATCACCCTTCCATCATCATCTATGCCGGAAATAATGAGGACTACCAGG